AATAAGTCTGGCGTGAACTGGTTAAAGAATCTGCTTACAGCTGAATTCTCTAAGCTCTCGTAGAATATATTTGAACTGGTTTCAAGGGGTAACGCATGCCCATGGAATGCACAGCCATGGATCCAGGTAGTCATCTACCTACAATGCTTGCTTGGAGAAAGCAGTGGATATAAGTGAAGCGTATGTCTTAAGCCGGCCTAAGGTCGACCTGCGATTTGCCTGCCCTGCAACGGCACCGTCAGCCTTTAGCACAAAAGTCATTCTCAGGTCACAAAACTGAGAAATTGTGTGATTGTCGTGGAACAAGCGGCATCTCGACACAGAGTAATCGCAACCATGCTCATGTCACCAACGACATGACGACGATTCACAATGAAAATTAGATGATCCGAATGCGCGCACGACGTCATAACTTTACACAGGTTGACTGCAATTGATTCCTGCCGTTAGGAAAGTGTTCCGTCGCAGCACAAAAGTTGAATTTACTTGGACCGACTGATACCGATCGTCTTAATATCATCGCTGTTGAAATCAGGTCACAAAAATCGGCAACTGAAAGGTTCACAACGGTCGTAACTCAGACGTAGCTTGATCTTGAAATCTCTGACTGTTCTGTGTCGTCGCAAGGTCTACCCGAGGGTGGCTTTAGACATCACATGATGAACAGGATCAATAAAGTTTCAATTGGGTTGGAAGATCAACAAATCCATGAGAGAAAGACTGTACGAATTATTCATGCATGGTGTCAAGTTGACATTCATCATGATTCTATGCTTGAAATGTATACAATACGATAATTTAAAATCCAGGTCAAAGAATGCAATGCTTACAAACTATCTTGCATGAAAAGTTACTAACCTACATGTATATTCAGAATAAGCTACTCTTGATTTTGAAAAGCCCCCTCAATGGACGTACATATACTTTGTTTACATTCATTTTCCTGACTCCAATGCAAGTGCTAAATGCTTGAATTGACATAAGTCCATATGCAAAGATATAACATACTTTTACTACAAATTTTACCACGTCATGGAAGTACAAGTAGCAGTTACTCGGGCGCTAGAATTCCTTTGGGATATTTTGGTTTGGATCAGTTGTACTAGAACGACCGATCCAAAGCAAAATTTCAAAAAAAAGGAGTTCTAAGTGCCCCAGTTACTGGGTCTAAAATATTCCATGAAAGAAAAAGCATCCATAAAACAAGTCAGTCAGTTTCATGGCCAGTGCCAGTGAAGAACAGAATATTGAAACTCCCAATTTCGCTAGTACCTCCTCCCCTGCAAACAGGATGCTGGGATACGCTGATGAATTCACGCTCTGATTGGATAGATTTTGCACCACCTGTGACCTGTAAGTCATCACGGCCACGACTCGGCAAGGTTTAAAACGGACGTTAAGACCGAGTCATAATACTCTTTTATTCCCATTCATAAATGCTTTATTTCGTTGTTAAACGTAATAATGTAGGAAAATCTGTCAAACATAACGGTACGTATTTGTTTTGTAAATTTTCGATTCTCGTCACTTGCTCAGGCTCCGTTTCGAATTCATGATTGCATATGCGACGCTCAAAATGTGTCCACATGGTCTGCAATGAAACAGAAATCACGTCCGGTATGGAATGTGTGCATTTCTATGGGAAGTTTTCGGATGGCATTTGAGCGCATTGTCTAACTGCGGTCTTAAACAGCTGCAGCCAGATGCTTTATACATAAGTCATAGGCCACTTCCTTCACAAGATTCTGTGAAGCTCATCAGCGTATCCCAGCGCCCTGTTTGCAGGGCGTTGGGGTACGAGCGAAACTCCCAACAAGCTGCTTCTTGTGGTTTAAGCATGTTAAATATCATTTTGGAAAAAAACCCAAATTGCTAATTAATTCATATTAATTTATTTTAATAACTTGTAATCGGTAAATAACACTTATTTTTTTCCTTTCCCTATTCTACATCCTTTCCAAACGCCATTGATTATGTTTACACACATCTGTACAAAATAAACATCACTTCTGTTTTTTTACAAACAAAACTTTAAACATACTGGCTGGGTTTTATGCTTTTCATAAAAAATAGAAAATATATGCACACCGTTTTTTTTAAAAATTAATTCCAAACAAAATAGTTCTTTCCCCAAGATGTGTAGTAAGTTACAAGCACGATGTTCTTGTCTAAAATACGGGGCTATAATATATACATGACCACTGGACAGTTACATGTGCATATGACATTTGCATGACAGATGACTGTTTGTTAGGCGCTGATAGCCTACCAGTCGATCAAAACAGTCTGGGGACTAGACAAGGTTTCCAAATAGTTTTGTGTGCAAAAAAGCAGAAACCCATCCTCTGTTCCAAAACAAGATACTTTTTTTTCATCCCTAATGACCTGATGTTAAATTCCTGAATGAATCAGAGTGACGCACATAGACACACTGCAAAACTACCCCTTCAACATTGATCCAAGTTTAATAGGCGGACTCTTTACATGCTAAGTCTGTGCTCGGTCGGTGAACATTACACAAATATAACATGGTTTGAGGGTGGACAGTCGATATTCGCTCCCCGAGGTATTGAAAGTTGACAAACTAGTTTCCATGGCGAAACCGAGGGAATTAATCTGTCAACTATTTCCAATAGGGCGCTCATATCGACTATCCACCCGAAATGCACCATGTTATATTTGTTTACTATACCTCATACATATTCAGTTGCCAAATTTTCCCGTTGCAGTATGTATCTCACGGGCATAAAATCTTCGGAGAAAATTGTCAAACTCACAGACAAGAATATTATTGCTCAACCGAAGAAAATTTAATCTTGTTTGCAATACAGTAACTCCTAAGAGTTTATACCGCATTGTGGACAACTTTTTTTTTTAAGTACAGGAGGCATCTTGATTGTCCACAATATTCTCTAGTTCATCATCATTGAGCTCGGGAAAATGGTTATCAACAATTACTCATGCAACCATCTCTTCATGTGTAACCAGGGCACGTGCGTACTACACCCGTGCGACAGTTCCACGATTGCTTCGTAAAGCACATGCGTGCGTAGAAGCCTGTCGCACGGGTAACCCGTGTGCGCCCGCTTGGCGAACAACAAAAATAGCATCTGGCAAGTGATGGTGAATGGACCAGTGAGATTGCAGCTATCGATCATGAATATGTATGAGGTATAGTAACGTGAAATACGTTCTGCATACTTTGAGTGATGGTCAGGAATGTTGCAGTTGAATCTGGGTCATTCTATAAATTTGGGGTCCACTTTTTTTCCCGTCCCTGTTACATCTGACATCTATGATTGTATAATTCTGATGCACTCCTTAATGCAGTCATCCTCCAAGAGTGATTATGAATAGCAAACTACCTACCCAACAAATAAACAATTATTTGAAGTCATTCTTAATGATACTTGAATGGCAAATTACAAAGTACCAAGGTAACAGGGACGGGAAAAATGTCACACTTTGGACCCCACATTTATAGAATGACCCATCTGCTACTGTCCTCACAAGTCCATGACAAGTCATCCAGTCCTCGCTTGAGGTCACAAGCTATTCAAGTGATCTGTGACAAAGGCTTGGTCATTCTTCATCCCTTGTTACTTGTGACTAGACTTATGATGGACTTGTGATGGTATACAAATAATGAATGTTTGTGAGTGCAATGGTAAGAATAATTTCATGAGATGACAGATGAAATGTTCCATTCCACGAGGCGAAGCCGAGTGGAATGGAACATTTCATCTGTCACCGAATGAAATTATTATTTCCATTGCACGAACGTGAAACATTCCTTATTTGTTTTATATACATGTAACACCTGAATAAATCCTTGTCATCTGATTGGTTGAGTTTTAATAGCCAATTTATTCAGGTTAAAAACTGTTTAAAAGTTTGACAAGCTCATCATATTTATATTAATGCAAACTGTTCAACAGGTTGAGAACAATCATATTCAATTTATCTCGATTTAAACAGCGCCACCACCAGCAGCAGTGACACAGTGCAATGGAAGTTCTATTCACAGTGCAATAGCACTTCCATTGCACTGCGCGTTGCGCGCCATGAGCGTTGGTACAAATAATTCAATGACATGTGATCAACGATCCACCAATCAGATGACGGGGATTTATTCAGGTGTTGTATAAACTGGACTAAAACACTGGGTCAGGAACTGCTATCTACTCTTCAATGCATAAAGTCTGTTGCAGAAGAAAAATCATCAGATCTATTTTCAGGCAAAGACAGGCATGTATATTGTCGTCAGATACGCAGATGAAGAACTTGTCAAGGTTAGACAGAAGGGTCACAAACAAACCTTAACATAAAATCTTACACAGCACCAACATTTGTTTATTATTTCCAACCACTTCAAATAATTTTCTACATATAGCTTACAGTTTCGGCTAACAAATCTTGCGTTACTGTACATGTACATGTGCAAAAAATTCCAAACAACTTTCTTACATATGTGCAGCCTGACTTTAGTAGAGAAAGATCATGGAAAGCAAATCAACTTGTTTGTATCAATCTACAAGGGGGAGCCTACCGGTAGGTTGGAATGCCACCCATATACAAGTAATGCTGCACAGACTGTGATGGTGTTGCCTGGCATTATACATCTTCAACTTGGGCCAAGTTCGTGCAAGGACTATAGTTCACCAATGGTTAACTAACGTTTGCCCGAACTCTGTCTAGTCGACTATGGTTGACTACGCTAGTCGACTATTTGGAACCAGCCTACTGGGGTTGGTTGCTTCGCTGGTAACCAATAGCCGCGCCCATTCATAACACTAGCAGAGAGCCAGGATCCAGAAGTTTTGCGATGACATTTTGACCAGCGTTTGACTAGAGACGTTCGCACGTTGCTTTCAGTGCGCAGGCGTAAGGCACGTCACAAATCAACCACTAGTAGACTAATGGTCCTTGCCCGAACTTGGCCTTGTTTGTTGGGCACGTTATGCCCGACAAACAAGATGACCCAAAGATTTTGTACCGAGTTCCAGGAGACATTTAGAAATGAGGATTAGTTTCGTTGGATTCTATTCTGTACATTGAAAGAATTTTACATGTAAGTATGCTCTGATAACAAGCTAGTACTTTTCTTTAAAAAAAAAAAAGTATTTACATTAGCATTTATACATCACATGGGAATAAGGCAGCATAGCCTTGTGTTTTAATATTGAAATGTCATTAATCCTTGGAAACTTAATCCAATTGGTATGTACAGGGTTTTTTTGCTCGGATATATTAACAGCCTGAGCTATGTAAGTTAAATATACCATTATAGTGACAAGTGTGTGACACATTTTCCCTGATAATAGCGAAACTCCCTACATGATCTACATGAACCTCTCCGACATGTGATTGGGTCATTACTAAGCTACTTTCTCGACCTTTTTGTAGGCCAGGCCAAATTTGTACTCAAATGTGACATTTCAGTTGGACTCAAATCACGCACAAGTCTTAATACTACTCTAAAGAGGGAAAAATAATTGTTTCCTTTATGGGCCATATTCAGGTCAATTACTTAAATGTACCTGACTTAAGTTACAAGTATAAGAGCAAAAATCTTATCAACATGTTTCCTTTAAAAAAAGGGCAAAAAGTCTAGTGAAGGAACCTCTCCGAGAAAGTCATAATGCTGAAAAAACTAAAACAGATCACTGCCACTTTCTGTGAAGAGGGTGGACAGGCGTTTTTCAAAGTAGCATCTCAAATTTAACGTCAAAAAGAAAAGAAAAAGATCCGAGATATCCAAAGAACGTGTATGACAGTGCTTTTCATTCTAGTCTATTGCAGGGCATAGATACTTGGTAAGAACCGAGGGCACCACCTTCCACTAATCCCCTGGGTACACCGCTGGTGGCTCATCTCCCATGATGGGGGGTAACGGGGGCACCGCCCCACCGTAAAACCAACGGTACAAAAACAGGGCGCAGACCCCGAGCCCCAGCCCCAGCCCCACTCCCAAGTAGCGGAATAACGACCTATGCTTGCGCCACCATTCACTCTTCCTCTGCTTACTTCTTATCTCGCCGAGTTTGTCTTGCATGGCTCGGGTCTTCTCTTCTCTCCGACGTCGCCGGAGTTCCGTCTCGCTGTGAAAATAGCAATTGTAGTAAAAAAAAGAGAGTTGCAAATTGGATGCAACATTCTGGGGCTGGATGTAACTTCATTCATACATGGTTCCTAAGGCATGGTTGCTGGAGGAATGAAATTACAGATAGGCAACCAACATTTTCTGACCGTTAACCAAACCAGGAATTGGAATCTCCGTATACGACAGTAAAAAAGAAATGGTTGTGCTAGTTCACTTTACGCAGGTTTTTAAACATCTAATTTCACCCAGTTTCACTTGTAATGATACCATGATACATGTACACCAGTGTTCTGCTACAACATTGTGGTGTTTAATTCTTGATAAAAAAATTATGTCTGCGCAGGTAAATGTAAAACTGAATTAAAAAAGTTACACCATTCATGCGAAAATGCAAAGAACGTGGAAGCAGTTTGAACATAAGGTGCCATAATATTGCAGCGGAGAGTGCAGGGTCCCATAAAGGCCGGTTCATACTTAGTGCGAAAGCGAACACAAACGCAAATTTGAGACGTCAGGGCAGGTTTCGCGCTGCGAATTCGTAAAAGTTGAATACGTTTGAACTAGAATTTCACAGTGAATGCTTCGTGACGTCAAATTCGCAACGCATTCGCATGAAGTATGAAGCGGCCATAAGCCCGATTCATACTTCACGTGTAAGCAAGTGCGACGCGAAATTCATGTCGTCAACAATGATGGACGCGCTTCGAATGTATTGTTGACGTCACGAATTTTGCTTCGCATTCGCTTTCGCGTGAAGTATGAACCGGGCTTTAAGTGTGCAGTAGTTTAGCTTTTTTGTTGTTGAACAAAAAGAACACATGTATTTATATATTTATGTCAATCTTACTATTTATTTAATGTTAAAAATCCTGACTGCATCGATTCATAGATATCTCAAATAATGACAACACAAGTCAGTGTTACAGATGTATCAAAATGTCTTTAGGTTTCATTAGTTTATTAGGTAAACTCAAAAAATCTGATTTAAGCCAGACGCTGATTAAAAACATAACCATATAAATGAAAAGTAATTACTATTAGTTAGAAGAAATAACAAAAAGGTAACAAAGGTTTAAAACAAATAGCTTAAGACTCTCATGCCCTTGCCTCTTAATCAAAATTTAATTACATTAATAAATAATATAATTAACCAAGGACTTCAATAAAAAACACCCCAAAACACACTTTACATGAATAGTAACTTATGGTTGGGGGTGGAGTTGGGCGTGGGGTTGGGCGTGGGGTTTGGCGTGGGGGTTGGGCGTGGGGGTGGGCGTGGGGGATAGTATTGTAATATTGTGATAACAGATACTGTAATTCTATTGGTTTAGGAAAGTCAAATGTCAAGATACTGTGACAAAACTTTTAAAGCATTTCATGTCTCGCAGGAGAGCTCACATTTAATTAAATGATAGACTGTATCTAGATTAAAATGCTTTCTTGTAGAGCATGACCAACACATTTTTCACTATACCTCATACATATTTAGGATCGAAAGCCGAATTCTCGCTGGTCCATTCACCATCATGTGCCAGATGCTATTTTTGCTGTTTACCAAGCGCGCGCACACGAGTATTCACGCACAGGGTAAATACACATGCGTAGTAGACTATCGCATGGGTTACTCATGCAATAGTCCACTACGCTTGCACTTTACGAAGCAATCGTGGAACTGTCGCACAGGTGTAGTACGCACGCGCGAAAATCACCTTAGCCACACATGAAAAGATGGTTGCACGCATAAATGTTAACTAGCGTTTTCCCAACTCAATGAGGCTGAACTGGAGAATATTGTGGACAATAAAGATGCCTCCTGTACTTAAAAAAAGTTGTCCACAATGTGGTATAAACCCTTAGGAGTTACTGTATTGCAAACGAAATGAACTCTTCTGAGGATGAGCAATAATATTCTTCTAGTGAGCTGGACAAGTTTGTCTGAAGATTTTATTCCCACGAGGTGCATACTGCGGGAAAATTTGGCAACTGAATACGTACTGTATGAGGTATAGTAAAACAAATATAAAATGGTTCATTTTGGGTGGATAGTTGATATTAGCTTTCCTCGGTATTGGAAGTTGACAAACTTGTTCCCTTGGCTTTGCCTCGGGAACTAGTTTGTCAACTTCCAATACCTCGGGGAGCTAATATTGACTGTCACTCTCAAACCATGTTATATTTGTATACTGTTGACTGCTGTGATTTTGAACATGGCAATTTGTACACCCTCAAGGACACATGGCACCACTTAGGGGCCTACTGTACCAGTAGCTCTGTCTTCTGTAACTCTGTGGGCACTATCCATCCCTTTGATGAAAAATCAAAACCCATGAAACACAACACAGCAGTCAACAATAGATAACTATCTAATAGCAAAAAGGTGCAAATAAAAATCTAAACCCTCAAAAGCTAAATCACTCTAAAAGATGTGCGGACATTTCAAACCAGGGTTTTTTTTATTATTGGAGGGAAAAAAAATGCTGACCAACTAACAGAACTAATTATGGATGAAAGCTAGTTCATGACCAAATAACGCTAATTTACTTGTAGTAGCGGGAAATCATTCCGTATAAAAAAAAAACAATTTGGTTTGAATTCCACCATTCCGTTTCGATTCTGGAAAATAAAATTAAGCCTTCCATTTCTGGGGGAACACAGGCTAAAGACAACTGGAACATCCCCCAGTTTGTTCCACAGTCTCTGAGTTTGTTCCACTTGCTAGTGGTGTTCTTGGTATAATATGAATAGTCTGCCACATTCGACTTGTCAGAGAGTTCCCTCTCATATTTTCATCATTACACCTCTGGAGTGTTTTTGTAAAGGCCTAGTGGTCACTGAATCCTGCAAACTATACCCAATCTTTGGGAGGGCATTACATGCCGTACATTACTCATCACTTTTTGTTGGCAGGATTGTGAGCTGAATTGGAAGCTCTGGTGAAATCGGATAACCATCATTCGTTTGAAATGTTTTTAGGATAACCAGGTTTTTAAATCTCCGATTTCTCCCACCACTACTTGCTCGATGCTGTTGATTGAATGTTGTTCCATGTATCATGGGTCTCATGCATCACCAAGACAACGTACAAGGTTTAATCAACAAAATGAAATATTAAACCCCAATTTCCTGTGTATTTTTCCAGACAACAAAACAAAACAAAACAGTGTGTTGCTTTCAAGGGACTTTTAGTCCAAAATAAATGTAAAGCCACTCCCCAATGAAATAATCACTTATTTGTAGTTGAGGACTTGGCACGGCAATGGATCACACACCAGCAAAGATGGCAGGATCTTTGCTAATTTTTTTAAGTTATTATTTTGAAAACTATTGAAACTACAAGGAACACTTCCATTTGTACGATCCAGTCCCACCAATAAAAACGAATTTCAAGAAAACTCTGCGCACTCATTCTGTGTCAATGGTTGGATCACTTGCTATGCCTGCAGTCTGATCCATCATCGGAGATACCTGGTACTATGCAATACTCTGACAATAGTAGCATAGCTCTATCTTCCTGAACATCCACCTGTTAATTTTAAGACGGACCCCATAACGGAACCCCAGGGAAACATGCATCTTTGCTCAATAGAGACAGCTTTTTTCTGGAATCTCCCACCCCTTTTGTCAAAGAAGTGATGCATCAAATGCATGCATTTTACGCACTTGATTTTAGCGACCTTTTTTGACCCACTTTTACAACTGGTGAAGCACATCATAAATACGAACCAAGTGGTTTATGCTCTTGCGATTACCACTATCCCCCCCCCCCCCCCCCCCCCCCCCCGATACCGAGATTGACGAGACCGATCATCAAGTTACAAATCTGTGGAAATGGAGGTGGACGTTTTTGGAGCAGATATGCCAACCCATACCCAAACCTGACCAAACTGGTGTTTGCCTTACTAAGCTGCTTCCATGGCCAAGCTGTTGAGTCATCCTTCAGCATTATGAAAGATGTCTTAACCAAGAAGAAATCTACCTTACAAGTACCTTCTCCACCATCCAGACAGTCAGGTACAAGCAAATAAATGTCAAGCAAAAAAAAACAGCCTTGCAGTATTTGACAGGGCAGACCCATCCTACACTCCTGTAAATACCACCTTGTGCAGAAATGTATATGAGGACTGCATATCGCACATATTCAGACCAAAAAGAAAGTGCAAGGAAGAAAGAAGAAGAACAGAAGAACAAGATGGGCTTTGAGAAACCAGTCAAGTCAGTCACACAGTATCAGTCACAGTATCAACAACAATACCCCTCGAGCCTCTCGGCTGAGGGGTAAAAACCAAGATGAAACTTGCACAATTCAAAAGGGCACAAGAGGATCTTGAAAAACACCGTGTAAAAAATAAAACAGAAAAGAGCCTCATAAGGTAAGGAGAGTACAACGTGAGGTTTGCAACGGAAAGACAACATGAAGTTTAAGTAAAAGCTAGATTTGAAGGAAGTATCTTTTTGGCGGGGCGGGGATTTGGCTGAGTCGCAATACAAACCTCAATGTTAACACAGTTTTCATTCACAAGTTCAAGCCAATATGAAGGGAAAACCTAAAAACATGCATAAATTGCAAAACATTTTCAACCAATAGTTGACCAAGGAGGCTGTAAAATGCACCACAGAGCTTCTACATTTCAAAATTTTCCCAGGGCCCTTGAGCAGGGCTCCAACCCCAGGCCGTATGGACTTCGCAATTCGTGCTCGCAGGTTCAGCTATTTTCAGCTATTTTTTTCTTAGAGCTCCACTCACACCCCTACTCATTTGAAAGAGGAAATAAGAGCTTTATTAGTTGAACAATGTAGTCCTAGAATCAAGAGGAACACTGAGCATTCATTGCAAATTCTGAAAGAATTCTGCAAGGAAACGGATAGAGAGGTCAACTTTGAGTGATTTTCCGAAGATTATGAAAGCCAATGCTACCAAGAAAGTATCAACACCGGCGAGAAAGGAAAGACCAATGGAGAAGCAACTCTTAAAATTAGGAGATGGGGAAGTAGAGAGAA